GAATATTTGTGACAATGAAAAGTAAAACGGCGTTCCATAATTTATCGTGAACCGGCACATACAGATTTTATCATTCATAATTCGTCCACTCACCCATATCAGCATAAGGTAGCAGCTTTCAACAGGATGATACACAGACTGATAAATGTGCCCTTGTCAGAGGCAAATTTCAATAAAGAACTGAATATAATAAAGCAAATAGCCGGCAACAATGATTACGATAGCGGTCTAATACATTCTCTATTATCAAAAAAGTTATACAGCCAAGCTTTGAAAAAAGTTTACTCAATTCAAAGAGAAGAGGATAGACGTTATAGAACCTTAACCTACTTAGGCCAACCCACTACCAATATCTCAGATTTTTTGTACAGCAAAGGTGTAAATACTGCTTCCAAAACCAAAAACAACTTGGAATGCACATTAAGAACAACAAATAAAAAAGTTCAGTTTCAGAAAAATCAGGAGTGTATAAATTATCGTGTGGGTGTTCTCCGATGTTTTATATAGGTCAAACTGGAAGAGAGTCCAAAGCCCGCATGAAGGAACACAAATATAGTTTCCAGAATGGAAAAATGAATTCCACATATGCCACTCATGTAATATCAGAGGGACATGAGTTCAACCATGAATACAAGCCTCTCCATTTCCAGAAGAAAGGTTTGAAACTCAACCTGTTGGAGAGTATGGAAATAAAGAAATTCAAAAAACTCTCAATATCTTATGAACAATCAAACGGAATTGAATAATTCGCCATTATTGAAAATGTTCATTTGCAGGTAAAAATAGTTAGGTATATTTACAGGTATACTTTCAAAAAATGTATTAATATAGTAAATGAATTCATACCTGACCTCATCAGGTAGATTCATTCATTGGGCAGACGAGTAGTCGATAGGTTAAGTAGTAGATTACAGCCGGTTCTGGGCCTCCACCCACCACTATGACGTATTATTAGTTTTTTTGTTGTTGTTTAGTAACATCAAGGCGATGTGACCTTGAAGGGTCTGGTGCATGGATCGTTCAGATTTTTTTTTCATACGAGATTTTGTGTGTGTGTGTAACATAGTGACGTAATTACATTTGATTGGTGTGTGTACGTGAGAGAATGCATGGTACAGGGTTTCATCATGTGTACAAACATACATCTGCATACTTCGAAGATCCTTCAAGTTAGTAGTGGTGTGACGTCACAGTAGCAACCGTTCAACGGTAAGAGAGCGAGATGTTCACTCCACGACGTGCGGCTGAGTAATGCGTATTCATCGGTGTGCCCTCACCTCTCTCGATGAAGTGAAGGCTGCGACGTAACGCATCGCTCTAGCCTCGCTATCGATGGTGACACGTAGGCGGCCCAGGACTGTGCTAACGTCTGCCCTCTCCGAGAGCGCGACGACCACTGGCTGTTCGTATCGACATTTGTTATCGCATCCAGTTGGGAGGTGGGCTTGGCTGTGACGTCAGGCATCTCCAGTGGGTGGCAAAGTAGGGTGAACTGAAGAGAGTTGAATAACGTGCATTTGTATAGATAATATTGTAGAATCTCGTGTAGTATTAATCTGAAAATTATCAATTTGAGAGTTTCCAGTTTTCAAGTAAGTATCAGCGCCCTCTCCAAATAAATGTAGGTTTCGAAACAACAGAATATGCAAAATTCTTTGGAATACAACTTGACAATGGATTGTCTTTCAATGATCACATCGAATACTTGTGCACTTCTCTGAAAAACGTATTTTGCCTTCCTAACAATGAAAATAATCTTTTTGAGACATAATCTCTCAGATATATACTATGGTCTAGTGTATTCTGAGCTTAATATAAATATTACCATTCGTGGACACTCATCAGAAATGAATAGAAACTTTATAAGGCAAAAACGCTTCATTAGACTGATTTTTGATCTCAAATACAGATAATCTTGTAAGAAAACATTTCAAGATGACAAAAATTTCACAATATCATGCATTTATCTTTACAAAATATTAAGCTACGTTCATGTACATTCCAATTTGCTAACAAGAAATGAGGAAATTCACTGTCATTAAACGAGACGGAGAAACGACTTCCATCAGGAAAAAATAAACCATAACAGGTATAAAGGTTCGCCACTTCTCCGCCAATGTCATGCTAGACGAAGATTTGTAGACATGTCATTTTACAGAAGAACAGACTAATATTTCTCACACATATGCATGCCCTACATGAACTTCCGCATGCTCAAAAATGATGTAATAATTTGAAATGTAACACTACGTTTTTCTTTTCGAAACATAATTTATTACAAATCTGAAGCCATATAGATGATGATAGTGATAGATGATATTGGTAGATGATATTGATGTGATTTCAACTGTAAAGCAGGTTTGTTCTCACTTAGTTCTGTTTCTCCCCCACCATGTCAAGATCTGACAGACCAGTGGTTTGAGCTTGAAACTGAACGTGACTTTATTCACTGCCCAGGTTATGGTAGATGGAGATTTGCGGAGTTTCCAAAAGAGATGCGTAGGGTCATGCCATTTTGCAGTAGAATAGATTGATATTTCTCACACAAGCATATGCTCGCCTAACAAGAACTTTCACGTATTACAATACAATCTAATCATTTGAAATGCAACACTATATTGCAATATCTGACGGTGGAGTGTGGTTTGACTGTGAAAATGAATACAAAGTTCAATCTTTGCGAACATCATGCTAAACGGGGTTTGGAAGTTCTCCAAAACAATGCATACAGTCACAACACACCATTTTATAGCAAAAAAAACATATTTTTCACACCTAAATATATTCTCGATATGAACTTTTACATGTCGCAATACACATCTTTCAATTTAAAATGTATTACTATNTCAATTGTTTTGCTAATCGTCTATGTTATGGAGCCAATCATGATAAAGTTGAAAGAGTTTCAGGAACGTGACAGAGGTTAGACGTTGAAAGCAGTAGTGAATTTGGGGGTTAACGTAAACAAATTTGTGCAGCAGAGAAGTTCATCATACATTGAACTGCCGTCTCAAATCAACGACACGTTCCGGCATCTATTGGATATTATATGAAAAGCTCTTATGATGACACACCATCATTTTATCGATCATTTCGTGGTGAAAATTGTACGAAATGGTTTTCCGACGAAATAGGTCAGTTTGCTGAAGATATTGCAACTGTGTTCCAGTGTCCATTTGATGTAGATATATCAGCCAGCCAGGAAACATTTTTTCGGGCAGCAACTCATTGTCATATATGTGACAAACCATTCAATATATCAGACAAAATAGTATGCGACCATAATCGTCAAATACCTAAAAATACACACCATCACACAATGATGGCATTATAAACTATCAAGATGATTAAACAATTCCCATCGTGTTTCATAACTTATCAGGGTATGATACACATTTTGTAATAGAAAATATAGCATTGGATCCCAATGAAAGTGTCGCCGTTCGGCAGATAACAAAGGAAAAGTATATCTCCTTCACTAAAAATATTTCTGGTAGCAAGATCCACTTCAGATTTTTTAACTCTGTCAGATTCATGAGTTTTTCGCTGGATACGTTAGTATCATATCTATCAGATTTTCCAAATCTCATATCACAGTTCTCCAACCTCTCGAATGATGAAGAGTAGATTTTGACAAAAAAGGGTGTAATGCCGTATGACTATATCGATTCTTTCAAAAAATTCAATGAAGATTGTTTACCCCCTATCGAAACCTTTTACAACATATTGGAGGAAAAACCGTGTCCTAGGAGATCTTACTTACGTGCCAAGCTGATATGGGCTACTTTTAATATAAAAACATAGAGAAAATATACGGATCTGTATTTGAAGACGGATGTTATGCTTCTGGCTATGTCTTCGAGCAGTACCGCTCAAGTTGTCATATAACTTACGATTTGGAACCTGACTATTATTTCACTCTGCCTAGCTATACATGAAATGCTATGTTATTCAAAACGAAACAGCAACTTGACATTACCAGAAACATGACCAAAATAACCAAAAAATAGCCATTAAATCATCTTGTATGAAAGCTGTTTGGAAAAATGTGTAACTGAAACTGGTTTTGATCTCTTTCAGTTTAAGATTAATCCAAAAATATCTGTTAATTACTTTTGAATACATGTTGTTTATATAAATAGACGAATTCACACATAAAAATTCAGTTTTGACCAAATTGTAGTATATTCCATAGCAAAGCACTCCATTAATTATGAATCTCGATATTATAGAAAATGCCAAGTCGAACAAACATGTTATTATCAGCATATACCCTTTTCAATATTAGTTCTTATTGAGATTAAAATCTTTCATAATTACCAGTCAACCACATCTATTCTTTCACTATTCTAGACGAATATCTTCAATTTCATCAAAAGTCAAATATGGAGCTACATAATCGAAAATTGGTATGATGGAAATTGCGATCATACTGTTCGAATGAAACAATCACATTACAAATGTAGCGAATCAATTGTTTTGCTATTCGTCTGTATTTTTGATCTAAATACATAACATCGATATCTTTGTGGCTACACATTGAAAACATTTTCTCAAATTTGTACCAATATATTTCAAATACGCACTTGGTGTTATGAGAGTTTACTTGATTTTGAGATTTACTGGTGTGTAATTTTTCTGCGTATCAGTAGAATGGCTTCTGTTTTATAGGGAGATTAGATCAATTTTTTTTTTCAATCATTCTTAGCTGGAAATGAAGCCCAACCATAAAGCATTTATGATTCAATACCAGACAGCCCTGATTCGACCCTTCATAACTGTCATCAGTGGTGTTGTGCTGAACCACAAACTGTAATTGAAGAACAAGCTATAGTAAAGAAGCGAGTTCACATCTCTGCCACGGCGAGGGTAGAGTTAACAGACCGATTTCGGGTCTATAATGAACGTAAAGTCGAGTGGACAAACGAGTGGCCCGAATTATAATTTCATGAATCAAACTGTCCGTGTCAGTATAAACTGCGCAAAAATGTTTCCTATACCTAGGAGCCATGTACTCATAATGGAAATTATATGTGGTCAACTTTGCCAAATCCAGTACTACCATTCCAACATATATAGGTTTGTTGAAGGATATTTTGAATTTTTCCAATTCAATGGAAGTCAAATTTTCATCGAAGAAAGTCAAAGTCTTGAACCGAGGATTGGAGATTCTGGTTTCGGCACCATATCGCTCATCCCAACTCGTGACAAGGCGAACATCAGAGTGCTTTCTCAGGTTTCCCATAGTTTTCCCTGAAACAAATATTTATATATATGGGACAAAAATTGAGTTTTGAAGATAGCAGTACACAGCAGGAAAGCAGGATCCACATGGTCGGGGCAGAACGGTAAATCCTTATGCATATCGTGAAGGTTGTTTGGATACTCCATATCAACTTCTAGTATATAACCTTCCGAGGCATCATCAGGCACAGTTGTGATATAAATGTTGGTGTCCATCCACTCAAACCAGCCGTATGGTAGATATTGATACATTGCCCAACCATATTGATCATCAACATCAGAATACATTAGGTATGAGTCAGCTTTGGCTTACATGAACAAACAAGGTCGATAAATTTATTAAGAGAAAATAAAAATGTATAAGGAGTCTACTCACATGTATACATAAACACAAAGCTGAATGATACACACGCTGTGAAGAATATACACACAATGTCCAACCATAGGCCAAAACAGGATGTACACGCTAGTGTCAAGAAGCTAGCTGACGTATGAACATCCTAAAAATAAGAATTTCCATGTTTCAAGAATAGTGAAGATATTTCAGTATTCCAACTAGTATTACTACAATTGCGATATCGTAAAAAAATTAAATGACTCAGTAACATTATCGTTATCGCTCAAATGCGATTCTTTCTTTAGTAATCTGATTGTCTCTGTCCTGACGCGTTATCTTTAAGGAATTTGAATGTTCAAGTTTCTTCGTCAACATCCTTTTTACAAGGGGCTGTTTATTATTATATTTCAGAGTGCAGGAGGAAAATGTTCACAGTTGAAAGTCGGTTTGAAATGACAAACTCAGTGTTACTAGTATGTATAATAAAATTGTATAGATTATTTTTGCATAAGTACTGAGGTACGCAATCCAATCATGACTTTGTCTAGACAGAAAAAGTGATTATGCTCACAAAAATATCTGAAATAATGATTTTTTTGTTGTATCTGGCAAAATTATATTTACTTACCTGATGATCATCAAACTCTTGTATCAAAATGTCTTCTGTTTTAGATGCTCTTATGGTAGCTATTCCATTCAGTGTAGAGCTAACTTGTGAAAAAACTGGTGACTTACCTACAATTGAAATATCAAATGAATTACGATAAATGATACTGTATAATGAAACATAACGAGCTGAAAGTAATATATCCAAGCATGAATACGCAAAACTCATCACAACTTTTTTTCAATAAAACTTGCTATTTCATCAGTTTTGAAATAAATTTTTTGAATGCCAAAAGTGAATATAACAAACATTCCAAGCTGATAAATCACAAATAAAAATGTAAAGTGAACATTCTTCATTTCGAAATAATTTCAGCGAGTTGTATCTATGTACTTACATGAAGATTCTAGATGTTTGATATCCATTGCTATAGTTACAAACCATTCACGAATCTTCAGGAAAAATATTCCCAATATCACCATTGCAATAATCATATACGGATTTGTAACACTGATATTTACCAGACTTCCAGACATTACCAGAATTATCTAAAAAATATTGACAGTTCAAAACTAGCGATGAGTTCATATAAGAAACTATGACCGTTTTGTCTTTATCAGCTCGCGTAAAAGCAATGTTATCTTTTGCCGATTTCTCTTTTATATATTTCACTAGTTTCAATTCCGGATTGAACCTTCTTTTAGGCATCTTTTCAGATTTTAAAATTTCTACAGCAATATGTTCATTGGCATAACATATCACCATCAACACGATATATGTATCAATTCCCAAAACTTCTGAATTTGTATAATTTATGTTGGGTTCAATATTGTGATTGAGACCTTTCTCTGATAGATGAGTTTCATGTTCTGTGAAACTGGTGTTCGTGAGATTCACAAATTTATCAAAGCACTTATGTTTTGAAAATAGTTCATTGTCTTTGGTCTTTTTCTTTTTCTTCGAAGACTTGCTAAAAATGACCAATCAGTCTTCCACTATATATTCCTGACTTGTAGAAATAATCCCCGTGAAGGATGGCTAAAATACAACCAAATATATTCCACAAACCAGTCAGATGGTACCATTGAACCCCAACCCCAGGCTCAACACAGTTCAACACCGGAAATCTGAGAGACTGCCACATCTGACAGCTGTCCAATTGTTGCGACAGTGTGTCCAATCTGTCCAAGCACCAAGGGGGCGCTGTGCACAACATCATAAATCAATTCCACCACAGCCACTCGAGACATCATCAAAAAGTTTATGACCCATCACAACTCCTTCTACAGCAATGCAACCCTCAAACAACCCTTAGAGCCCTCACCCGTGAACGACTATAGAAGTAATTCGGTGTAGGTTGTCGGAACGACACTACGAAAGTTCGGCAGAATGACAGTGTGGGCAGATGTTAACCAACAGCTGTCTCTTAACCTGGTTATTGAATGTTTACAAAAATATTGACTTCAATTTATTTTCAACTATTCACCGATCCTTATTAATGTCATGGAATAAAAACATATGAGGTTACTTGCTACATCTTTCCCATTCAGTACGAATATTTGAACATTCATATTATGCCGAATATTTACCGAAAATATCAATCAGTATTCAGTAATATGTAAGTAAACCTTCTGGAAGTGATGAATGGCAATCTATGCAATACATATTCTTGGAAAGGTAGAGAATAAGGCGAACGCGAAGTGAATGGTGAGTACTGATCACGGCAGTTAGTCAGGGAGCACACACATATTCTTTTACATTTCATGTATGGTTTTCTATAGAACGAAAGATTTCCATTACTATTATGTTGAATGATTAAAATCAACTTGTAACTGAATTGTATTGTTAACAACCTCTGAATAAAGATTTCAAAAGGTAAGGTAGTGTTTTGAAAGGTTACATAGGAGCAGTTTTGATCTAGTGCTAAATTGAAATGTAACATAGGTTTGTTTTAACTGAAATTAAATTTTGAGATTGTAGGATGACATCAGGTGAATGGGTAGTTTATGTTGAAAATAGTGAATCCAATCACTTTGCTGTTGCATAGCATTGTCACCTCACAAACCACAAGAGGAGACTAAATCATCTGTCGGTAACAAATGAGACAGATGGGTATCCGCGGCTAAGCTAAACAGTGGAGACGGGAGTGGGTTAAACAACTTAGCAAATTTCAAATAGATCTTAATGGGCGCCAGGTAAATTTAATCCACCAGATACCCTAAGTAACTCACAATATCAATAACTTACCAATTAATATTGGAAATA